AGGGCTTTAATTAATTTAGGGTTTTGGTATAACTCTATAAATATATGGGTATACGTCTGCCGAGGGTTTCTAAAACCCTATTCACCATATTCCCGTATACAGTAAAGAGAGAAGTTGAGAGAACAGAGCATCGTAACGGTCTGTCAAAGAGAATAACAGAGAGGACCAAGGGAGGTGTTTGGTGGATTAGATCAGAACCAGAGGAGGCTAGAAGGTAGTCAGTGGTTACCGGAAAGCTTAGAACAACGGCGACAAGGTTCTGTTTATAAAACTGTACAGGCAAGTTCTTCTCTTTCTCCTTCCCTTTGGCTTGTGTTCTGTGCACCTAGACAGTCTCTAGGAGATTAATTGGCCTTAAACTGAACCATGCATGTTTGATATATGATTTGCTTGATCGTTTTATCTGTGCAAAATTTATTTACAAAATAATTATAGCGCGTATGTTTTCTTGACTCTGTTTTGGCATAACGTCCCACTGTTCTAATTTTTATTTTGAATCTTACTGAAATCAACCAAGGTCTGACTAGATACTAGATGTAAATTAAGACTTCAAATTTAAATTGGAGAAAGAACAGAGGGGTTGGGATAAAACTGATCTTGCAATTTAGTTTCAGTGCCGTTCTTCAACAACGCTAGTTTAAATGGCTTGATTAAACTCTGTAATTGCTTTCAAAAATATTGTAAACAATCTTGGGGAATGCTTCTAGACTAAATTACGAGTCCTAAGATTAGTTTTAGAGACTAACAGAGGGTTAGGAATAAGCCGGAGAAGGAGCACAAGAGCTGAAACGACGCACCGGGGACGAAGGCTCTCAGAGGAAGTGAGAGCCGGCTCCATGGAAGTGGGAGCCGGCTCCAACAACAAAGTGGAGCCAACTCTAGGGAGTCCTAGAGCCGGCTCTAGGCTGGAAAAGAGCCTGCTCCAAATTCTGGAGCAGGCTCCTTTGGTATTTTTGATTTATTTTACGATTTTTTTTAATTTTCTACATACTATGTTCACTGTTGGAGCATGGAGACTGTTTGAATGAATTTGGAACTTTACAGAGGGATCAAGGAATGAATTTTGAGTGTTATTAAGACCCTAAATTGAGTAAAGTTTAATTCTAAGTTGTCGGGACAAACAGTGTAAAAATTAAGGCACTTAACAAATGGAATTGAATTAATTGTTGAATTAAAATTCAGCAATTTGATGGAACATAATGTGTTTATAAAACTTGTATTAGAATGCATTCAAGTGCATGATAAGGTCATTTAATTATTAATGTTGATCTATGCATGCTTAGGAGGCTAGTTGCGGAATTATTAAATTGTTTACTGCAACTATATGGTTAATGCTTGGATTTAAACTGCTGAAATATTTAAACAATCTTCTGAATTGTTTTAGCAATTTATTGGTTAATAATAGGATTATTTAACCTATTCACATGCATGATGGAGTCCCTGACATATTAAATTTGGTCTATGCATGCTCTGGATGTTAGTTGTTGATTTGTTAAATCGTCTCCTGCAACTATATCGTTAAATGCTTGGATTTAAATTGCTGAAGCTTTAAATATTTTTCTGCAATTGTTTGGATGGTAGTTTTTGGTCTGTAAATTATTGAACTGTTATATATGTTGTAATTTACATGGATATGGAGGATGGTATGTACCGGTATGGGACGGTGACATACTAGGGACGGTTTAGCTCAAAACGCATAAACCTAACCTAATGGATTAATGGAATGGATTGAAAGATATCGAATCCTAATTGTGGCTAAGTCAGATCAGCTGTAAACAAGTTGGATGACTTCCTGGATTAACGGATGGTAGTTAAGTCATATCAACTGAATAAGTTGAATGACTAACTAGTTGGTTTATTGTATGACAGTTTAATAAATAGTTGAACTGCATACCCTGGATTTGGTCGGACTTTATATATATGGTTATGGTACCACGAGTTGAGCTTGAGTCTCAGACTCGTTGGTTAGGGTGCGTATATGCAGTGGATGCGTAGCTGGTTATAATAGGTTGAGGTGTACCCTGTTAGGTCTAGGTACTCATGCCCACCTTTGGGTGCGTATTCGCATGTTGCCTTCTATTCATGTTGAGACCCCTATTATAGACTGGTGAATGTCCCTTAGTGTGGATATATTTATACGTATGGACTAGATAGATATTGTGAGGTGTCTACGGTGTATCTGCGTATCGGGTCACTGTATGGATTGCAGTTAGATTAGAACTTGCTCGTGGGTCTGACCCACTCCTTTATTATTCTTTTCAGGTACAGGACGGTTCCAGCCTTAGAGCTTGATCGTGCTTGTCGAGGACAGTCTCACCTTCATCTGATTACGTAGGACTTCTCTCGATATTTCTAGCATTATCTATTTTCAGTTTTCAGTTTCAGTTGAACTTTTGGTTAGGGGTCCATCAGTGGATTCCCAAGTTGTAACCTTGAAGTTTTGGAGGATTGGATTTTCAATTTTCAGTTATACATAGAGGATTTTATAATTAATGTTACTTTCAGTTTTATTCCATCACTTTTGTTTCATTTTGTCATCTGTATTCGCTTTAAAATACTTTAATTGTTTGATATTCCCTCGGGTTTGGGCCCGGGCCTGATCAACCCGTGTCTCGGATCCGAGGGGTATCACAATACAACTCCAACAAAACCCAATAATTGATAATTCAGACAGTAGATGTAAATATCAATTTATCCACAATAAGCATAATACAAACCTATAAATTTGCATGCGTATTTGATATCACTAAAACATGATTAATTGTAAAACCATTCACAGAGAATTGCTAAACTAAGTTTAAGCAATTTAAAATCCTCCACATCCAATAACAGTAAATCAATTTATTTAAATATTATCTACTGCTCAAGTTATAAACCCTAGGTGGTTTATTATCCACTATCATGCTCTCTGGAGCTTTAGTATGCCCTTAGATATCATCTAATCCCCATTACAGCTCCCAAATTAAACCTGGAACATCAAAAACGTATCCCAATAGCCAAAATTACGCCGAAAATCAACAAAAGGGGAAGGAGCTGCCTCCCCCTTGAGTGGAGTTAGCTCTCCCTTAAGGAGAGACTCCTCCTTGCTAGTAGAGCCGGCTCCCCCTTGTGGGGAGTCGCTTCTTTGAGTGGAGAGCCGCTTCCTTTTAAAAGGGAGCCGGCTCTCCTTCTGATTTCCATTTCTACGTCTTCTCCGGCAACTTCCAACTCTTCTGTCCTCCATTACTAAGGTTCCTAAGTGTTTGAACTAGGTCTTAGATTATTCCAGACATAAATTTAAATCCATTATGCATGGTTACATCAATTAAAACAAATATTTATACAGAACAATTCAAGATCAAGTAACATAATTTAATTAACAAACCTACTATTTTAATCGAATTCGACACGCAAAGAAGTTCAGTTTGATATTTATTTACTCTTAGAATTGTTTAGGCATGTAAAGAAGACAAGCCAAAGGGAGATAGTTAGATATAAAACTTGCCTTTAGGTTTCAGTTCGAAACCTTTCACTGTCGTCTTTGAGTTTTCGGCAATTTCCTAGACTGTCGTTCAACACCTCTGTTGCTATTGGTTCAACCCAGAAGCAATCCCTTCCTTCCTCCTTGAGCCTCTTTGTTTTTCTCTCAAGTCTCTCTCTGTTCTTTCTCTCTGCTTTCACTGTTACGGGAATAGGGTTCTAAACCCTTGGCAGACACTAACGATGTATTTATAGGCTAACTTAGGGTAACCTAATTCTAATTACACTTAGGGAATGAAAAGAAAAGAATAAACAAGTCGGCTAACCCATGAAGAATATAAAACCCTAGAAATATAATGAATAATAAAACTAATTAAATCCAAAAAAATAATTAATTCATTTTCCACATAAGCATTAAATCATTAAATAATTAAAATAAATAATTCAATTAAATAAAACAATTAGGCAAATAATCAGATAATCAAATAAAAATGCACTAAACAATAATTTAAAATACCGAGACTATCCTTTGAAAATTAGGGGTATTACATGAACCCACCAAAATTCTAAAGTTAAGTGTACTTAACCTGGAGTAATACCAAGATGGGTGACCCTTTGGGAAGTCTGTGGCCCGAGGAATCCAAAAATTGTATCTAGTTAGGGTGAGGGTTATTACAGATTGGTCTTTCTTCGGCGAGAGTAATAACGAGAGCAATTGGGTAACATATAAGTAAAAGAGTATTTTTAGTCTTTTAGTTTTATATAAAATTTATTTTTAAATATTAATATATAATTGATGGAAAAATTTGTAAAATCTTACAACTCCATTAATAAAGTAGACAGGCGTCACAAATAGGGATGGTAGGTGAAATATTGAAACTTGGAAGGGATGTAAGTGAGATATTGACAAAGGTCACAGAATGTAGGTGAAATTTATCCTCAAAAATTATTGGTGGGGTAATTTAGACCCAAATGTACAGCGAGTTTGTCAAATATGAAATTATTAGTGTATAAATTATTGTATTTGTAATTATGTTTTGTTAAGTTGCTATATATATATACTTTTTATTCTTTTCTTTTCTTTTTTCTTTTTTTTTTTTTTTTTTCTTTTCTTTTTTTATTTTTTATTTTTTATAATACAGTCGCTTTTACAATAATTGTCTACAAAAATTGTCATCCATTAAAATTTCCGGAAGAAAAATCAAAACCGATTAAAGACTAACGACCATATATCTTATCACATTCCTATACTAGTCTAATCTCCTCCTCTCTTTCCACTCTTGTCACAAGGAAGATCAAAGTCGGTTTTGAGCTTTATATCAAATTTAATCACATCCTTACTGAGTTATTGTAATAAATATATATATATATATATATATATATATATATATATAGTTTGGTCGTGAAGAAACTTTTAGATCGAATACAACTTTCTAAGGACGTTTGAAAGGTGTTTGGCCAAAGATCAAGGGCAGGAGGAAAACAATAACGACTCACTGCTCTGCTGCTCAGCACATTCACCTAATTGTTAGTTGGTATGTGACTTATTATTTGAGCTTAACGAGTTGGTTGCTCGTTGTTAACTCAAGTGTACAAATAAGCTTGGTCTTTCTATTATTTTAAATACACTGCTTATCTATCTCATATTTGATCATTTGCCTCTGTTTCTATATTTCTGCATCCTAGTCGTATCCAAATATCTAATCATGAAGAGAATTGGTCTTGTTCATATGATCGGTTTTAAAATTTGTTCGCTGTGTGCTAGAATGCAGCTTTACCCAATCTGTAAACCTAAATACTCGTATACAAACTTTATCATATGTGTTGCCCAAACAATGATTCAAGAAGGAGGTGAATTGGGTCTTTTGGTAAACTATAGGAAATTTTCCAATTAAGAAATTTGTGCTCAAATATAAACCGATTAAAAGATTTGTGTAAAGATTGAAAAATAGATACACAATAATACAGTTATATAAGGACAAAGTAAATACTTGGTAGATTTTTTGATTAATTTGTTAAAACACAATAACTTAGCAAATATGTAAGCTAGTTGAAATTACTTTCATCAATCACCAAAAAAATTTAGCTAATGGAAAGGCAATGCCAGTGCAATATCAAAAAGTACAAACTAAAGACAATGTAGATTCTTCATTTTATCGAATGCTAGCGTGCAACAAGATTTTAGCAAATTAAAATGTAAATATAAGCACTATTACTCCAAGCACAATATACTCAATTTCGCAAAACAAATCTACTCAATCCAAGCATACATCCCATCCTCCCTTTTACCGTACATAATAATAAGAAATCTCATGACATCTTCATAGAATTTACAAGTAATGAGAGATTTATCAAATAATCAAACACTTGCGTGCAAGTGAAGGTAAATAAGCTAAATCTAGCAAATGACTATTCAAGTGTAAGTGCGATATTAAAAAATAAGGAGAGATAAGGGTAGAGAGATGCAAAGACAAAGACCACCAATTCTTTACATGTTCGGCACCACCACCTACGTCCATGCCCCAAGAGTACCTCTTGAGGATTTTCAAAATCCACTATCTTACTTCTCCTTCGCTAGTGGAGAGAAAACCCTTACATGCTCCTTATTCTGGGTCAAGAGCAAACACTCTCTTTTGCCGGCTAAGAGAAAACCATCTCTTTTGTGGGCTAAGAGACTCTCTTTCACGGGTGGAGGGCAAACCTTTACAACTCTCTTTCATGGATAGAGAGCAACCTTTACAATGATCTCAAAAGATAGATGAGAGATGAAGTTCAACAAGAGAATTCCCTCAATGGATAGATATATCAATACAAGCTCAAAATCTAGGGTTACAGATGATAGATTCAAGAGAAAGCTCAACTCTAGGTTTTCAAGATGAACCACAATGAATGATTTGCCAGATTAGGCTCAATGGTGGTTCCTAGGATATTCAAATCTAAACTCATTGATAGATCTTACCTACAACGGATGTTCTACCAACAAATGATTTACAAATCTAAGCTTCATAGTAGATCTTGCGTACAAGAGAGATTCAAATTTATGCACAATGATGGGTCTCTCTATTGCTCTCGTGCACTCCCAAAATGTCAAAGAAATTGGGTATTTATAACCCTTTAAGATTTATGACCATTGAAGAACTTTAGAACATGTTTGGTAACACTTAAATCTGACTTTTAAATCATCCTCGAACATGTAGACATCTAGTATATCCATATAGACATCTAGTATACCCATATTATTATTATTATGTTTAGCTGGACAAAAAACACTACTCACAAACACTTTGTTCCATGAAGATTTGAACCGGTGTGGACATATTTTCTGCCCGAAAGAGAAAAGTCCCACAATTGTGACTCTCTATTATTCCTTGCAATGCCAAATTTTAGGAGAGAAGAAACATTCCAATTAATCTAAATTCACTCTTTTCTCTCTCTCTCTCTCTCTTCAATTATTTATTTTGGACTAGGAAGAATTAAGAACCCGTTCAAATATTGAAACAAAATTATTTGACTAACAAAAGTCAAAACCGAGTAAAGACTTCTACCATATTATCTCACCAACCTATAATAGTGTTTGACCAAGGCATATCAAAATGTAGTCACATTCTTATTGTAATCTCTCTACAGTTTGTTTTTTTGTGAAGAAACTTTAAGAATACAAACTTTGTTTGTTTGTGAAGAATCCTTTAGAATACAAACTTCCTAGGGACATTTTAAAGGTATTTGGCCAAAGATCAGGCAACAAGAAGGACTCATTGGCTCATTGCTCTGCTTCTCACCATATTCACCTGCTTGTTAGCTGGTACGTGATTTACTGCTTTTTTAAGCTTAATGAGTTGGTTATTCTTTGTTTAACTCAGATGTATAACAAAGCTTCCTCTTTCTATTTTATTTTATTACTATTATTTTTTTAATTTTGTTGAGTGGAAATGAAAAGGCCTATTTAATGATGAACAACAGAAATAGTTGATGGGTTCTTAAGCGAATGCCTTGAATTAAGTTTCTTGTAATGTTTATATGCTCTCAAGCCAGTTTTCCAGTTGAGAAAGACACAAAAGGAACTATATATATACACTAATTAAAATATATGGGCTTGACTATAATAGAGAGATTTTAGTCTAAAAGAACTTAGTATATACTGTATAAGTGAAAAGAATTAAAAGGATAACAGGTTCAATATAAAGAATAATAAATTTGATGACAATTTTCATCTTTACAAGATTCAACGATGGAATTTTTTATTGATAGCTTTACATCATGATTTATTATTGAGCAAATGGATGCTAATACTTTTTTTTTCTTTTCCTTTTTCCATTTCTTTGGAAACTAAAGTTAGGATGGAGGGTTGATAATAAGGTTGGATAGACATTGGAATTCAATTTCCATCATCTATCTGAAAAAGAAAAAGGTAAGAGAAGGAGAGGGTGACAAAAAATAAGTTATTAGAAATGACTTTAAACATAGTACGTGTAAAAGAATGGAGATAGCGAATTCACGTGGCCTGACACATATTTGCATGGGATTAAGGCAAAGATGATAATAATTATTAGATAAATGAAAGGTGGACATCAATCTAAAAGTCTTATGATGCATTTGGATTAAGTAGGATTGAAAAGGAACATGGATGATAACATTAGTTTTAATCTTATTAATAAATGTTTTCATTTTATGGCAGCCTGTAAAGTTACTCAAGCCATAAACCCAAATACTTGCAGAAAAACTTTTATCATTTGTTTGAAACAATCTGTATCTCTACAGCATTGCCTATCAAATCCAAGCAAATATTATGTTCATTAGAAATATAATCAATCAAACTGAAGAGTTTCATTGATTTTGCCTTGTGTTTTTTTTCCAGAGATATCCACAAACGACTCCATGTCTTCACCAGAGAAAACATTCATTGTTGCAATAGTAATTGGTAAGTTTTGCGCAAAAAGGAGAAAATCAGGAAAAGGGAAATATGAAAAGATATTCAAGAATTTTCATTGACATCAAATTGAGCCTAAGATCTCACCATTTTAAGTTGTTTCCACTTCCAGGCATAGCAGGGCTTTTGATAGTACTGGCAGTAATAGGCCTTGTCGCTTTATATTGTTGGAAGAAAAGAGAACCAATTATAAGAGAAATGCAACCAATCATAGGTGAAGTGCAGCAAGCATTCAATCGGCCATCACTGAATGGTGTTCCAATTTGGGAGGTTGATGCACCTTCAATGGCGAAGTTCTTCCAAGACCTGGCAAATGAGAAAGCGATTAGATTTCATGAACAGGAACTACTTAGATTCACAAGTAATTACTCGACAAGGTTGGGTTCTGGAGGTTTTGGGGTAGTTTACAAAGGACAGTTTCCAAATGGAGTGCATATCGCGGTAAAGGTCCTCAAAAGGAGCTCAGAAAGAAGTGCTGAAGAGCAATTCATGTCAGAAGTTGGCACAATAGGAAGAACCAACCATATAAATCTAGTCAGACTATATGGATTTTGTTATAATCCCTCTATAAGTGCGTTAGTGTTTGAGTACATGGAAAATGGATCTCTTGACAAGTACCTGTTCCGTGATACAGAAGCAATTGAGTGGGAAAAGCTACATGAAATTGCAGTTGGTACGGCCAAAGGTATTGCTTATCTGCATGAAGAATGCAAGCAAAGAATCATTCACTATGACATCAAGCCCGGTAATGTTTTACTTGATGCAGAATTCTTCCCAAAGGTTGCAGATTTCGGGCTAGCAAAGCTGTGTAATAGAGATGGCACCCACACAAGTGTGACCGGATATAGGGGGACTCCTGGTTACTCCGCACCAGAGCTTATTCTGAAGAATTTTCCAGTAACTTGTACATGTGATGTTTACAGTTATGGAATGCTGTTGTTTGAGATAGTTGGGAGGAGGAAGAATGTCATAGGCAGTCCTACTGAGAGCCTAGATTGGTTCCCGAAACATGTTTGGGATCAGTATGAGAAGGGTGAGTTGGCAACGATGACCATATCGTGTGGGATTGAAGAGAAGGATAGAGAGAAGGCAGAGAGAATGTCCACGATAGCTTTGTGGTGTGTTCAAGACTCACCAGAGACTAGGCCACCGATGAGTGCCGTGGTGAGGATGTTGGAGGCAGGAGTGAACATTGCTCCGCCTCCTAGACCATTCCTCTATCTGTATTCAGTAGGCATGAATGTGCTCAAACCATTCAGCAGTACTGACAATAGTTCAAACGATGCACGAAGGGATGGATCTAATTCGTACTGGTACAAGGACTCCACCACACTAATGACCAAGTCCGAGATACAAATTGTCAGCTCTTCCTCATAAAAGTGAACATTGATTCTACCCCAAAAATACAGGATTGAATTTGTATGTGTGTTATATTTTATTTTATCTGTTTTGGTTAAAATTTTGGAAGATGTGATACTGTTATCATAACCTTTTAGTAGTAAATATTAGCTACAGTATTTGATTTGATCCTAGTGCATTGACCTTAGCAACTTTTTAATTTAATATTTCAACACCAGCGGCTAGATCACTTGATATATAGGCTAAAACGATATTGGTCTTATCTTCAGGAAGCTCCAGTCCAACTTTATATAGGAGTGGGGGCATATAGGTTTGAAATACTTTTCTGGGTTGAAGCTGCACATCCATTCAAGGTCACCCTCACAAACAAAAAAAATTATTAAAAAAAAAAATTCCATTTGGCTATAGTTATTCATACTAGAATGCCAAGGACATAAATGCTCAAACAGAGAAAGACATTACCAAATTATTCATGTATAAGAACCATCACAAAGAAGTATCATCAGCAAATCAAACACCCCAAAACTGCCTCTAACCCTCCAAATCAAAACACCCTCTGATCTCTTGACTGTTCATCAGTAAGAAAAATACAATTAAGCTGAAGATAAATCAAACCTTTAAATGTTATTTGATAGCAAATTCTAATCTGCTTACCATCTAGGTAGAGGCAATTCCAATTTATGAGATTGTAAGGCTTCTCAAAGTTGATCATGCGTCCCTCCAATGCTCTCTTGATATTCATAAATCTTCTTCTTTTCTTTTTCCCTTTTTTTTTCCCCTCTCAATGTTCAAGAAAAAGACCCCTACAATATTGGCCCTAACAAGTTCCAACACTCAACTTCTCTTTAAAAGAGAGATTATGCCATCTAGGCCAATGTCCATTTCTTAAGTCATAATCCTTTCTCTTACAAGCTTTCTCGTTATATTTTATTGTCATCGAAACAAACATCATTTTGATGCAAGTGCTACAAATTACTTCACAGTCTCCTTGAAAAAACACACATACATGTGCATTTAGGATGACAATGGTGCGGTTTGGGGTCGGGATCTCATTTCCCATTTCCATTTCTATCATCGTTTAGTTTATTCACCCTCATAACCACCTCAAAACTCATTAGGTTTTTTAAAGCAGCCCCCTTCCCCGTCCCCATTTACATAATTGGTTCCCCAAAACCAACCCAAACAGAGCGGGCCCGCTAGGATGGGGATTTTTGCCATCCCTTTATATGTACTTAACCTATTTTAATAATATATCATAGTATGTAAGGGTAATTTAATAAATTCACAGTATATTCGGGGCGCGGCGTGGCGGTGCAACCATCTCCGAAACAGGTCCAAAACCTAACAAATTTTTCAAAGCAGCCCTCATCCCCGTCCTCATTTACATAATCGGTTTCCTAAAACCACCACCAAATGGGCCGGAGGGGTGAAGATTTTAGCCATCCCCACGTGCATTGCTTCAAAGATGCAACATATTCCACACTCATTGCATTAAGAATGCAAACATTTTTCCCTCTACTTTCTTTGCCAGCTGTGTGACAAAGCCCATTGGGCTCAGCTACCCCTGGCTACCTCAATTTCTTCTTTATACTCTTGTGTAAGTGAATTTTTGAAATTTTAAGAAAATGCCCCCCTTAAAAACCCCCTTTTTTTTAAAAAAAAAATCTTATTATTTTTTTCTCTTTTACTCTTCTTCTTTACATATCATTGATCCCATCAAAATTTTACATTCTTCATCTTCAATAAAAACCTAATTTTCTCTTTACATTCTTCATCTTCAATAAAAACCTAATTTTCCCCCTTTAAAGTTTTCCCATTTACCTTTTTCTTCTCCTATTATTTTCTTCTTCTTTTGTTTTTATTTTCTCTTTTTTTTGGTCTTAAAATTTATTCTTTTTGACTCATATATGATGTATGTGCAGTTTCTTTAATCTTCTTCATCTTTAAATTTATTACGGTAATTTTATGAACTTAATGTCCATATTTATGTTTTTGGTTTTTTATACTGTAATTTATTATATTATTTTTTATGAAAAATGACTATTTGTACTTCTATTTTTGGTTTATTGTCTTGCTACACTGTTAGTTGTTATGTTAGTTTAAAAAAATAATAGTAATAATTTATTTTATCATGTTCAATGTGCCTATGAAATTAATTCCTGCCTCCATCACTGTTTGCTGGTTACAGAGCACCAAGGTGCTCATCTATGTAACAAGGAAAGCTCCATGGCCAACCCTTCTTTTAGAGTCTATTGTGTTGTGTCTGGTGCAGTACCATTCATGTGGGAGTCTCAACCTGCTCTACCCCTAAATATACGTCTTCAGACACCTCTCTCCCTCCTCTCACACCACCTCCCGCCTACTATTTCAATAATAACACAGAGAATACAAAAAACTCAAGATCCAAATTCTCGAATGCCTAGTTGCCAGAGGTTACATGTATCTTCATCACTATCATCATCATCATGTTCATCACATTCATCAATGTTTGTTCCAACGACACATTCCAATGTTCATGGTAAAAGTTTGTGTGCATACTATTCGTAGGGAAATAAAAGAATGAAAATGGGATTATGCTAGAGCAGAGCTTCGAGCTCTGTTTATGGGGTGACTTGGTAAAATTAATGCATCATTAATCATAAGATATACACTGAAATGAAGGCGAAAGACCACTGTACAGTGGATATGCAGTGGATATAGTTGCTGTAGTCAATGTGTGTAGTCACACTAAACTGATTTTTGCCTAAATTGGAACACAATAAAAGTACACACACCAGTTGATTGAAGCAGAACAAAAAATGACCATCCTTGGCTATATGGACTATGAATTTCAAAATTTTGGTTCAAGTATAATTCAGTGCTAGATAGGTGGAAATGCAGAAACTTTATTTGCCTTTTACCTCAAATTACGCTTTCACCTAGGATTAGAGAGAACTGATGCTTGTGGTGGTGCAGAAACATGGCCATTGGCCACATTAGGAGATACCATTGCATGTGCAAAGTTGTATATGATGTTTGTCTCCGCCTCCATTACTCCCTCCAATACCTTCACCACTGTTGACATGAAAGGCCTTCTTCTCTGATCATTTTGCAAACACCAAGCTCCAATCTTGATCATCCCGACCGCCTCTTCTCTATGACCTTGTACCTCCTCATCCAGATGTTCAACAATGTCAACGAGTTGGTTCTCCCCCCCTTTTCTCTGCAACAATGCAAGTAGATGTTTGCTTGATTCTGATTGCTTGTCATCAAAGTTTCTCCGTCCACAGACTATTTCAAGGAGGGCGATTCCAAAGCTATAGATGTCTGCTTTTGTGGTAATTCTTCCTCGTTGCAATTCTGGAGCAATATATCCAGGAGTTCCTCTCATTATTGTCTGAACATGGCTCTGATCTCTGTCTATCAGCTTAGCTAGCCCAAAATCAGAGACTTTGGCATTGAAATTTTCATCCAAGAGAATGTTTTGTGGCTTTATATCGAGGTGGATAATTCTCTGTCGACACTCTTCATGGAGGTAAGCCAACCCTTTGGCTATGTGGAGTATAATCTTCTTTCTTGCTTGCCAATCAAGACAAGCTCTTTGGTCAGTGTAGAAAATCCACTTATCCAAAGAACCATTACTCAGGTACTCGTATACTAGAAGCCTATGAGAATTGTCTGCACAAAATCCAATCAACTTCACAAGATTAAAATGGTTTATGCTCCCAAGTGTCTCAACTTCTGCTAAGAACTCCTTGATTCCTTGGCCTGATCTATCCAATCGCTTCACTGCAATAAGAATGCCATCTCCAAGCATTCCTTTGAACACGGCCCCAAATCCTCCACGACCAAGTTCCTCCCTAAAATCCCCTGTTGCAACACGCAGGTCTTCATATGAAAACCTTATGGGAATTCCCTGAACTTGCTTGAAAGAGTCTTCCCCATCTTCAGTATTAGTTTTCAGAAACCTCACCAGAGTGAAAACTATCATAAGACCAAAAATTAACACAGCACCAGCACCGGATCCTGCAATTATTGCTGCTAAATTTGTTCCATTTTTTGAATGGGGAGTTGGTGGCGAAACATGGCCTGTATTTTCTTTCCCAGGCACAGTGTCTGGTGCCTCATATGGAATCTGTACTTTGATATATGTGGCTGATCTGAAATTGTAATTGGGAATTTTCCCTTCTCTGATTGTCAAGATCTCGGATGGCATATAACAATAACCATCTGAAACGTCATTTACATACCTGAAAAAAGCTGCTCCACAAGAACAATTTTGCATGCAGGCTTGTTTGCATCCCTCTAAATCTCTGATATTTGGGAATGCAGCATCTGAATCGATGACATTGAAGTAGGTAACATTTCTTACTTCAACAAGATGGTGCTGCTGGTTAAGGGAAGGTGGGCAAGACAAGTTAGTGATCCTAGAGCAACCACTTTTGAGCAATTGAAGTTGAGTCTGCCGCCAATATTGACGCCCATCAGTGCCTACGGCACAGCTGCACTGACCTTCTCTGCATAAGCCATATTCCCCACATTGGCGAGGATGTTGGCATTCACCCAAATCTTCAGTAATCAAATCAGCAATCTCTCTCAATCCAGTTGCATTTCCGTGATAGTATATCTTCAAATGTCCATCACTCTGAAGTTTTACGTACTTCACAGCTTCATTGGATGAAAATTCAGTGGGATTTATCATAAAACTTGTTTGAGATGTTCCCCGTTTAACGATAAACGCTCCTTGCTGGAGCTCGGCATAGTAGGATCCCCTGCTAGTTGTTGAGCTTTGAAATGGCACCAACTGATAGTACATCAGTGGTTGACCCTCACCTGCTTTGGTGTATGCAGCAAAACCTGTGGCCAATTTTAGCCCCGCATGGTACAAACCACGACTCCATTTGTCCGAGGACCTTGAAATGAGTTTTTGACCGTCTTGTAACCGCTGCCCAATGAGCATTGTATCAGAGTGGTGCTCAAAGGACTGCCAAACACTTGCTCCTTCTTTGTTGAACAGAACCAAATTTCCTTTTGCTGTCATGTTCATTCCCGCCACAGATTTTCCAAATGTATTGGTAGACCATACGTTGGCTCCATTTGAGTCGCGTAGCACCAAACCTCCATCTCGTGTCAGTTGCAGTGTTGCGTTCTCTCGCACTGGATGGCTTCTATTTGCCGACCAAACTACACTGTGATTTCCCCCACCGACAACCACGACAGAGAAAACGTAATAGTTGCAGTTATCAGCGCAGTAGAATCCAGAAACAAAATCGGCACCCCTTTGTCTCAACAGAACTACTCTTACCTTTGATACATCGTCACCAGCAGCGGAAAGGGTATTCAATGAATTGTTGTTGTGCCATGCTGTAGGAAAGTTTGAATTGAGATGGAATGTAGAGCTGGAAAATTGGGCAATGCAAACACTTAAAAAGCATGAGATGATCAAAATTAGGATGAAGCAAGCCATGATCACTAAAACAAAAGTAATGTTTTTCTTTATGTGGTTTCCTACTTTCTTACAACATATGTTTATTTCATGGTTTATGTTTTGATGATTGTTCAGAGTAAAAGGGGTGCACGAGAGTGAAAGAGGGGCAAGAGTCATCATTCTGTATTCAATAAATGCATGTAGGGAGGTGTTTTTACTCAAAAGTCAAAGTAAAAAAGTAATGTGGAAAGAGCAAAGAATTGCAATCACAAAATACAACTGTCATACACGCATATTTGTAAGTCATTAAGATACATCGACAAAATGTTGAGAGTCCAAGTCTCCCAAGAAAAAATGGTGGATGAATTTCCAAGGAAAAACTATTATCAGTTCCCTTAACATCAATAAGTCAATATAAGGGTCCATCCCAGAAATTGCATAAACTTTTCCGAGAAAGTAGACTTTCTTAGCCTGCATTTTCCTTTATGTATATGCTGATGAAGAGACCACCCATTGGACAATACTACCTTTTTTTTTCATGGAAAAAGAATCAATAGACTGATTGGCTACCGTGGGCGGTGGGAAAATTTACTTTCTAGTATTCCAATCAATCAGAAGCTGAGAAATGTTGTCAGCCAAATTTTAGGAGCTACTGCCTTAATAATTGATACCTGAAAAGATCTATGAAACGTTGTAACGAACAAAATTTGGTGGAACTCAAGTAACATATAAAATCAAAAGCTACTGAAAATATTTCAATATTTAATCTGTAAATATTATAGCAACTAGTTTCTGTTGATTCAAAGCTGCTCAAATCTTTGTGCAGTATTCTTCAGTTATACAATTTACCTTCACCTGTGGAAAAAACAATACTGCCCAATTTTATTTATTTTATCAGTTTGAGTATCTATAACTCCCCCACACACCCACATGTATATACATATTTAAATACATAGAGTTCAAGGACCGTTCCCTGCTTGGTGTGTAAGGAATTTATGTACGAATTAAATCTTAAATATTGGATATAAAAACATAAACTACTTTTTTAATTGCCCAATAAAATCCGGCAGTTAATACTTAAAGTATGCATACATTTTCCTGCACATTATAGAGCAAGTGGACAATTCTGCATATAATTCTTTTACTATCTAGTATGGAAGTCATGGCTAAGTGTTTTTGCCTAAAATTTCCATCACTGTCACAGCCACAAGATTATGGAAGTTATGGCTAAGTGCTTTTGCCTGAATTTAAAATAATCAACACAAATTTAAAAACAACCAAGTGTTTTTTGCTCAATTGGAATTTATATTTCTAAAAACAACATCGTAGAAACAAATTAAAAACATTCTTCATCACAAATTACATGAATTTGGTTTTGCATACAATTCAGTGAAAGAATTTTGGAAGGCACAGACTTTATTTGCATACCAAGCCATTCTTTCATCTAGGGTTTGAAAGAACAGATGCCTGTGGAGCTGTAGAAACATGATCATTGACCACAGAAGAAGATGCCATTGCATGAGCGAACTTGTAACTGATGTCTGAATCGACCTCCATTACTCCTTCCAAAACCTTCACCACAGTGGACATAAGAGGCCTTTTTGTGTGATCATCTTGCAAACACCAAGCTCCAATCTTAATCAGTCTCACCACGTCTTCTCTATGGCCTTGTACCTCATCATCCAAATGTTCGACAATGTCAAGGAGTTGATCTTCTGCGGCCTTCCTCTGCAACAATCCGAGTAGATGTTTGCTAGACTCTGACCGACTTCTATCCAAATTTCTTCTTCCAGAAACTACTTCAATAAGAACAATTCCAAAGCTATATACGTCAACTTTTATGGTGATTCTTGATTTTCCACACTCCGGAGCAATATATCCGGGAGTTCCCCTCGATGCGAAAAGGTCTTGGCTTTCATCTCTGTCCATTAGCGTAGATAACCCAAAATCGGATATTTTGGCATTGAAATTTTCATCCAAGAGAATGTTTTGTGGCTTTATGTCAAGATGAATGATTCTCTGTCTGCATTCTTCATGTAGATAAGCTAACCCTTTGGCTATGCCGTGTATAATCCTCTTTCGGGTTTGCCAATCTAGACAAGGTTTGTCGTCTCTGTAGAAAATCCAATTGTCCAGAGACCCATTGCTCAAATATTCATATACCAGAAGCCTGCAAGATTTTTCTGCACAAAATCCAATCAACCTCACCAAATTAAAATGATGGATGCTTCCGATTGTTACAACTTCAGCTAAGAACTCCTTCACACCGTGCCCCATTTTATCCAACCGCTTCACTGCAATCTCAGTACCGTCCCTCAGCGTTCCTTTGAATACCGACCCAAATCCTCCTGCCCCGAGTTTCTCCTTGAAATCCTCTGTTGCAATGCGTAGTTCTTCATAGGAAAAACTCACTGGCATCCCCGGAACTTGCATGATATAGTCTTCTTCCTCATCTTCGGTATTAGTCTTCGTCCATTTCACCCGGAATATAACAGCAACTAAGAAACAAAACATCACAAGGGCACCAGAAATAGACCCTAATATTATTGCTAGTGTATTAGTTGGTGCCTTGTTCGGAATCTGAACCTTAATGTATGCGTCGGATGAGAAATTATGATTTGGAATTTGGCCTTCCCTCATTGTCAAGACCTCAGATGGCATATAACAATACCCATCCGAGACGTTGTTGTTGTCATACCTGAAAAAGGCTGCACCACAGGAACAATTTTGCCTACAGGCCTGTTTGCATCCTTCTATATCTGTGATATTCGGAAAGGCAGCATTTGAATCAATGATATTGAAGTAGCTAACATTTCTTACTGGAACAAGTTCCTGGCGGAGGGGACGCTGGCAAGACAATGGAGTAGTCCTCGAGCAACCATCATCAGGGGACTGAAATTGAGTCCGGGACTCAAATTGAGTCTGATTTACTGGACAGCTGCATTTGCCTTCCCTGCACAACCCATATTTCCCACATTGACGTGGATGCTGACATACGCCAAGATCTCGGGTAACAACATCAATAACCTCACTCATTCCACTTTCATTGGTGTGCCTGTATATCTTCAAGTGTCCGTGGCTATCAAGCTTTATATACTCAATGTATGGTCTTAGTGCCGGCAATTCGAAGGGGCTTGATCCAGATAAGTCTTGAGATGCTCCCCAATTCACAAAGAACCCTCCACTCTGAAGTTGGGGATAATTTGAGGTGTCATTAGTGCTCGAGCTATTGTCTTCCTCTTCTCTCATCAAAAGCCTACAACTGCCTCTTGATGAGCTTTGGGTAACTGTTGAGTTCTCTTCTGGCGCCAACTGATAATACATCTGTGACTGCCCCTTGTCATCTCTGGTGTATGCAGCAAAACCGTCGACGGATGAGAAATTGACATAGTAAATGTGGGAAATGAGTTGTTTACCCTCGTATAAACGCTGGCCGAGGAGCAATGTATCAGTTGGGTGGTCAAAGGACTGCCAAACAATAGCTCCTCTGTCGTTAAACAGAACCAAATTGCCCCATTCAGTCATGTTCATTCCCGCTACAGATTTGTTCAACGTGTTTGTTGACCACCTGTATGGTCCATCAGAATCTAGCAGCACTAAACCGCCGTCTCCGGTGAGTTGCAGTTTTGCGTTTTCTTTGACCGGATGTTCTGTGTTTGCTGACCAGACGACACTATGATTGCCTCCGCGGATCACCACCACCGAGAACAAGTAATCTGTGCAAGCGTTGATGCAGTAGAATCCACAAGCAAAACCAACGGTCTGTTTGGTTGAGAGCAGTGGTCTTACTTTGGATCCATCAGCACCATTGGGGGTTGTGTTGATTGAATCGTTGTTGTACCAAGTGGAAGGAAGGGTTGAATTAAGGTAGTAAATGGAACTGGATGTAGCAGTGTTGTGGGAGAAAAGATAAGAGAGAAATATCAGAAAGGACATGAAACAAGCCATGATCACTGCCAAAGAAAAGATCTGTGTTTTGATGATTGATCAGGATAAATGGTAACTGGTAAGAGAGAGAGTCAAGACTCTCAGGAGACAAGTCTTGCTGTATTGGTAGATACAATTGAAGAGGGCTCCTTTGGACCACAATTGGGGAAAGTGGGTTCCACAAAACGTATGCCCTATTGCACTAATTAAAGAGGGCACCTTTGTCTTAGTATTATGTTAGTCCCCAGTTGCAACTTGGGCCACTCAATAAAGTGACTTATTTTTAATTCAAATATACATTCAAATATATATATATTGTTTTTTTTCCCGATACATAATATATATATGGATTGCTTTTATATATATATTGTTTTTTTTCCCGATACATAATATATATATGGATTGCTTTTGAATGTATGTGTATATATATATATATATATATTGTTTTTTTTCCCGATACATAATATATATATATATATATATATATATAAATATTTTTTTTTTTTTTTTTTTTTTTGACACCACATTGATCCTATTGACAAGTTTGTATTACTGAGTGTTAATTTATCATACAAGGTCAATTACAAAAATATAAAATAATTCTGAACGTTTATTCATGTTAACAAATTACCAATGAACTCTCCTCATTGTAAATACTTTGACCATGTTAATATATTACCTAAATAGCATATATACACAAGTACAATACTACTCGTTGACATGTTAAATTCTAAAAATAGTATAACATAAATACGGTGTGGATATGCTTAATTTTTATTTTTATATATTTATTGTGTAATAATATTATAAAATTTAATTTATTTTTAATTTCTAAAGTAGTAATTACTCTGAAATGATTTAGAATATAAAATTATGTATTTATTGCTATGATTTTTATATCATTATTATGCTACAATGTTATAATAGGGTTTTTATTTTAAATACACAAGTATCATTACATACTTCATTTATGATCATATATATAATGTCATTTTTTCTAAAGAAAAAAAAAAATTAACACATTAGAATGTATTTTTATTATTTTCAATATCACTATAGACTTATATTAAAAATTTCTGTAAGTGTGACCTTAGTGTCCAAAATAATAAAATTTAATTTTTATATATGGCACACAATATGAAATATCAAAAATCTAAAAAATGTCTTGTAGCGACCCAAAATGATACAAAAAATATAACAATAATAATAATAAAATAAATAAACTTTCGGCATGACCTCTGTAGAAAAATCCCTCCACAACCTGTTGAAATACATAAAATATGCAATGGCCTCATTAAACCTCAAAACTAATCTATCATATCCCAACGCACAATGCAATAATATACAACATCCCCAAAATCAACACATACATACAGAATGTCTCATTCCTCCATCTCATCCAAACAAGGAATCACTTTAATTAAGTTACAATCCATGAAATATATTTATTTGCACAAATTCTACCATTACAACACTATACAAGTTACAATTAATTTTTATAAAAGGTACATGATCATATTTCTATACAAAAGACAACAAAATAAGAGTTCTAGTCCAGTCTTAATTTATGATGCGTTATCGCCCGCCCCTTCTTTTCTTAAACCTGAAAATTGTTAAAATAATGGGGTGAGCATAAAGCTCAGTAGGAAGTGTTTAAGAGATACCTCTTATGACCCCGTGAATCCACATATAGAATAGATATCAAGAGAACGGGATCATACAATACTGGGGATATAATCCATAACCACAATGTCAAATATAACCACAATTGTCATTCAAGTCACAATTGTACCATGTATGCCAATAAAGTGTAGTGCCATGTCCATGTCGCTCCCCATTTTCCAAAACATTACCATTTCAACTTTCAAACCGTTAGTGCAATCCGACCCAAGACACCTCCAAGGCATCACGAAGGGAGGATTGACTAACTATTCATGATCATAAGGCACCTCCAAGGCGTTGCATCCGCCCTAGTTAGCTCAATCTCTAGTCCCTTCTAGACTACACTAACACCACGGACCACTAGGCGCCTTTTAGACGTCCAGTTTTCACAAACACTTTTCAAAAAAATTTCCTAAAAACAATTTCATTTGTTTTTAAAACAAACTTTTCCATTTACTTTCCCAATGGCAATGCATGAATTGTGCAATTCCTTCAATGCTATGACAATATAAAAATTTCGTATATATCATCCACATCATTTAGGCATCTTAAAAATATGAATTTTCACACAATATCACATTCTTATATTTCTAAATCACGGCATTTTTATATACTTTCAAATCACAAATCCAACAACTTAATTACATAAGGTATAAAATAAAATCATTTATTTTCATAACTACAACATCACTTTCCATAGTAATTTAAAATCATAGGTCATATAATACATCAACACTAAGCATGTTTTTTCACCACAAGAATTTAATCATATTTATAAGTTCACTTAACACATAATATGCTTTTATCACCTTAAATACCAATGACCACAACAAACATAATCAAGATAATTAAAATTAAGCATGCTTAGAGTAAAATTAAAAGAAAAATTCACAAAAAATCTAAGAAATTGTAGATTAGAACATCCCTACCAGTGGATGCAAAAAGCCCCAATTATGCTCAAATTTTCGAAATCCAAAAGGTAACCAAATTGAATTTTGCTCTGATCAAAATAACGGCCTCAACGAGTTCTACAACTTTGTTCAAGGAAATACTATCAAATTCTCAAAGACAAAAGGGGAATTAAGTCTTGAAAATCATGGCAAAAGAAAAAGAAAAATGCAAGAAATGAGGGGAAAGAGATTCTGCCAAGAGAGTGAGATTTTGAAGTCTAAATGGCCTTATGACCATTAAAAAAGTAAGTGGAATGTGGGTCTCTCTACTAAGATAGATAGATAGATATATATATATATATATATATATTTTTTTTTTTTTTTTTCCTTTTTAATTTTCCACCACAATTATATATATAATAAACATTACATGTCTATATCCTACCTGAATAAAATACGAGTACTTTCTAGCACATTACCAATAAACTATCGTCATTCCGATATGGAAAGAGGATGATAGTTGTGGCAAGTCCACCATTTAAACAATTGACAAATGCTTGACAATGCAATAAACAAATTTACATAAATGCCCATACGTGTACGATGTCATTTAATTCTATGTGCACCCACAAACCTTCGATCCTTTCCCAACCCCTCCCCCAAACTCTTTGCCAAATGGCATATCCACTTTAAGCATTGCAATGGCGTCTTTGATTTAGGGCTTAGTTTGAACTGAATTTGTAAATTGTAAATTTGTAAATTGTAAACTAGGGCATGAAATGAAACACAAAACTCATCTCAAATATGCGTCCAAATATTTGATATTTTGCGGATCGGATTAGGCATCAATTCTAATCCGATCTGTTCTCAACGAATTGAAATTTTTTATTCTTCTACCAATTCGTGGGAGAACTGATCGAATCTAATTAGAAATTACTTCAGAAACTTCAAAGATTTCTTGCTTCTAGACAGATTAATAGAGATATATACAAACTGAATCCTTTTCCTGTATGTAGTTCTTTTTCTTACTTTAGATATGATTTTAATTTAAACAAATAGTACTATGTTATTTACTCTATAAATATTTTTTCACCCTATACCCTATAAATAATTTGTCTTAATTTTTCTGCATATAGTCTAAAAAGTGTTGAATTTCATCCCCAATACAATTCTTGTAACAAAGATTTTGAAACCGTGGATTACGGAACAGGCCCTTCACCATCATACTTGATGTTATATTTTGTCCTCAATTGCAAACAGACTTTTCTTACTAAACATCAATTACGTTTTTTGACCAATCACCATAAGAGAGACTTTTCTCGTGTCTTAAGCCAAAGCTCAAGACGTGTGGACCAACTGACTGAATCAATGTATTTCTTTCACGAGCTTCAGCCTCTGGTGGGCAAAAGTTTAATTTAAATAGGATCGTTCAAAGTAATTGTTGTAAAAAAATAGTAATTGTTGTAAAGTGTTTTAGGTTTAATTTAAGGAGAAATTACAGATAGGTAGAATTTGAAATTTTAAATAATAAAATAGTCTATTTTAAAAGTTTACTTTTTAATTTGACTGAATTTTAAAAAATAATTACAAATGCATCAAGAATCTTTTTTAAGATCCAAAATATCCTCATTCCAAAATACCAAAATATCTTTCTTAATATCACATAATTCCACAACACCAAAAAAATTAAAAGCCCTGCTTTGTTCCAAGCCGATTTCAGTATTAGTGTTTTTTTTAATCGATTACCATTTCAAGTATTGCTCTATTGGACTTCTTATGTCAGGATATGGATCAAATAATAGAGATTGGCCGGCGGTATGCCCAAAACGTTATTGGTATTTGCCCAGTCTCTTGCTAAGAGTCCGGCAGGGGCAAACCTGCCATAAAGCTTTCTAGTGGGAAAAAATCACCCAACTGAAATAGAAAATCAGTAAATGTGAGCATATTTGCTTTATTACCCCAACTTCTCCCAGGGAAAGGTAGCATAATAGTCGGTGGTTTTTGTGCTCGGAAAAAGTGTTATGCATGAGAGAAAAATCCATAAAAAAAAAAATAAAAAATAAAAAAAAATAATAATAATTGAATCCATTGCAACAATTTACTTGGTCAATTCATAATGACCAAGAGAGTGATTACGGAGCCTCTTATAAACTTAAATTGTTAAGATCAAAGGAGTATTCGGTTAAGAAATTGTTAAAAAAAATCCATTACTCTCTTCTTTCCTAGTAATTGAAATATTTTTCTTCAACACTGAGAAGAGCTGCAAGGGAATGATTTCATTATTTACCTTCCTCATGTGTTCTTAGCAAAATAGTTTAGGTTTCTTTTGGCAAGTTTATATATATTTTACTTTTTTTTTTTATTCTATAATCTTGTGAATTTGGTCTTAGAATAAATTATACATCAAATCACTTTGAATAGTTTAGGTTTCTTTTGGCAAGTTTATATATATTGTTGATAATTAAACAATTTTAATAAGAAAGAAACATTATTTTATATAAATAGCAACTAAAGAGGAATTATTTTCAAATTATATTATCTTAAAAAGGATATTTAGGTAATTTGAAATAAGAGC